GAAGTCAAAAACAACCGATGGCAACAAAGCCAGTTTGACCCATGCTTGTACTATCTCCGCGATGCCGATGGCAATCTGTGTGGCGTTCTTGGGGCTCACGTTGATGATACAATCACAGGTGGTCATGGAGAGTGTTATGAACGTGCCATCGCAGCGCTGAAAGCTCGATTTCCGTATCGGAAGTGGCGAGTGGGTAGTGGCGATTTTTGCGGTGTTCAGTATCGTCAAGACCCAGTGACGTATGCCATCACGTTTGGTCAGAAGGAGTATGCCCAACACTTGAGACCAATTAACCTGTCCAAAGATCGCCTGAAAAACAAAGGGTCACTAGCCACTGACCGAGAGGTAGCCACTCTTCGAGCCATCAATGGAGCCTGTAATTGGCTGAGCAGCCAGAGCCGTCCTGACCTAGCAACTCAGACGTCTTTCAGTCAGCAGTGTTTTCCAAGTCCAAAAGTCAGCGACTTAGTGTTTGCAAATCAGCTTATTCACCGGGCCAAACAACATAGTGATGTTGAAGTTACTGTGAAACCAATTCCTTGGGATCAACTTGGCGTTTGTTTTCATTCCGATGCTTCTTTTGGAAATGCCAAAGCACTGAGAACACAAGCAGGATACATTGCAGCATTTGTTGATGAAAACTTACCAAAGAATCAGCCAAGCTGTTGGTCACCATTTGCATGGAAGTCCTTTAAACTTCCTAGGGTAGTAGCCTCTACACTTGCTGGAGAAGCCCAGTGTTTTTCACTAGCGAGCGCTGCGGCTGAATGGATGATGCTGCTGCTCGGCGAAGCAAAGCATGGCCAGTTTGACCTGCGCACACGAGAGCAGATCAGGTCTTTAGGGTTGCCAAAGTCCACTAGGCCTTGCCGTGATGAGCTTGAGGTAGGCACCGTCACTGGAGTTACTGATTGCAAGAGTCTATATGATCACCTCACCTCTCCATCATCGGTGTCAAAGTGTGATGATAAACGTGTGGCGATAGATCTGGCAATACTGAGACAGTGCATGAGCAGTTGCAAGCTTCAGGTCAGATGGTGCCCATCACAACTCATGCTGGCAGATGCGTTGACCAAGGATCAATGGGATCCGAGCGAACTCCTCCGGGCCGCTCTCCAGTTGGGAGAGTATCAACTCAACCATGAAGCAAGCGTGCTGGAAAAGAAGAGAGTTCAGCGTACGCAGAAGCCATCCAAAACCTATGAGCCAGTCCCACCAGGGGATCAGAAAAATCAGCAAAAACCAGAAAAATAGGATATTAAAACAAATAAAAAGGGGTAAATAGTGATGGGGTAAACTCACATGGCAAATCCAAGGGGTGCACAAGCACATATGTTTGCAGCTTGTGACCATCGATAACTCGATGTAGCAACGGTGCTCAACCGAGCAGAAGCTTGAACTGGTAGCTCTATAGTTTTTCATCCTTTGCGACATCCTCTCCCTAGGTTTCATCATTTCCGTGTACAGTGTGAGCGGTGCCATGTCCACGCCTTCCCACGTGTCCATCCAAGATCTACGGCAAGCCCTGATTTCTCTTCGTGAAGTGGGTCAGCTGGAAGCCTTTCTCCAGGAGACTTTTCAGAATGATGTTTCGAATCCTGGAGCCATGTCTGACGGCAGTAAGCGCAGAGCCGAGGTCCTAGAATCTGACAGCGGATTTGATCTGGTTTCTGGCGTCTCGAGCAAGCAGCCTCCGATGCTCCCTCGATCTTCGGCAGTCATGTCTGCGGGAACGGAGAAGGTGATCAAGGGATATCCAGAGGGAATTGTCTCTTTGGAGCAGTGGGGCCATACCATCTGCGATTTGCCAAAGGTGGCCAATAGAGACATCAACTATGTGACCATGATCGAGGAGTCAAAGACCAAGAAAGAGATGGGTGAGTACCTGACGTGGGTGTATAATACCAAGGTCCAGAGCAAAAAGGCTGATGACTTGCGAGCCTATCTGAAGGCCGTGCACTGGAACCCAAAGACCCACCGGGTTGAGTCTGGAGAGACTGTGATGTATCCAGGGTCGACGATGGTCCGTCGCTTGAAGTAATTCAAAGAGGAGAAGAAGAATTAAATTTTTGTTTGATGGTTTTATAGGAGTGTGAAATCATTCCAACCATCAGCTCTTGCATGTGGTGCATATTCATCAGTCGCAGGGACTTCTAGAGCTCGAGGTGCGAGTGTAAAACAGTTAGAAAGCCCAATGGTTGTGCGGCCCCCGGTGGGGCAATCGCTTCCTCACATATATATATATATATATATCCCATTATATTTCGGAATATCTCCCATTATATTCATATTCTATGCATAATATCACATATCCAATGATATTCCATTCATATATCCCAGTATGTGTGTGTGTATATATTATATATATACATATATTTATTCTATGCATATATCCCATAATATATCCCATAATATTCTATAAATACATCCCTATGTCCCCACATTTTGTTGGTTTAACTGATTTTTTCCTGTCATAAAATCCACACCTGCTCCACGTTTTTGAAGCGAAGCTCGGCCCAGCGCAGTGTGCCACGGCTCCTCAAATTCACCAGGGAGTGTTCTAAACACAGCACAGACCGATATATATATATATACACACATAATTGCTTAACTAATTAATTAAGTAAATAAGTAACTAATCAATTAAATAATTAATATATATATATATATACCACAATAACATATATATATATATATACGTAAATACGTAAATACGTATATATTATGGTGCAGAAATGTTTCAAACACCACTGTCAAGCATTTTTTGGTGGCATTCTGTCAAGCCCCATCTTTGTGGATCCATTCTGAGCTTCGGGCGCAAGCAGGGCTGGATCCTTCACTTCGCCGTACCTTCAGTGATTTTCATCGATGTGGAAGTGGAACTTCCAATGCCTCCGAAGAAAATGAAAATATAAAATGACATTCACATTGAACATCGAAACTTTTCTGGGGAAAATCACATGAAACATTTCTGGTAAATATGTTCCAGCGTTAACTACCTCTTTTCGTGGCGTTGGCCACAATTGTTAATCTAGTTTCCAGTAAACCTACCATGAAACTTTAAGAACAAGGAAAGGACTTTGTGATGGCATCGCGCGTTTTTCGAGGCAAGCATTGCACAGCGCCTCCATAGTTGATGATTTTTGTAGTTGTCGCTGTTGTGTCAAAAATGTGGTCCAAAATCACACTTTTGTTTAGCCACAAGCGCTTTGCCATAAGTCCCAATTGTTTTTTTAAGTCCGTTGTGAGGATGCAGCATTGCCACGATCGCGGCATCCCCACCACCCCACGTACAACATACAGATGTGCTGGGGTCAAAACATAGTACATGGATGTATATGGATGTTTTTGTGGTTTATGGATGTTTATGGTAATCCATCCCATATAATGTGAATCCATCCCGTATGGGTTTTTCTTCATCTATTGATGAAGAAGACCATCCCCAAGGGCTGGCTTGGTCACCATAACACGGCCATTGCGCTTCATGATGTTTCTTTTTGTTCCCATTTAGTAAATCAATGATACCCTCCAGAAAAAATAGACAAATAGACATCACAATTGGGAAAATCTCCCATTTACTTCCCAGGATTACTTCGATAGTTTAGCCCTTTTTGATGGTGATGTTCCAGTTCGCAAGCCGTTCAAATTTCCAGGGGGCCCACAGAAAGTGAACCCCTCAGGACCCTGCTGCTCCTGCGCCTGATGTTCCAAGGAAGGCATGGGCCTTGGTCCAAGGAGTTCCCGGACAAATTCACTGTGGGATATCATGGGATGTGATAGATGGTATGATATATACATATAATATATTTATATATATAGTATATATATATATTATATCTTCATATACCCTCTGGTAAACTAACATAGCTATTGAAAATGGCCATTTATAGTGAGTTTTCCCATCAAAAATGGTGATTTTCCATAGCTACGTTAAATTACCAGAGGGTATCTTCTATGTATACAATTTAATGGTACCTATATCTAACATGTCACTTATATCTTTTTGTAATCCATGATATTAATCTGTCTTTCTGTGTAAATTAACATTAATTAACGATCGTCCAGCCAGAAATATCAAGTCGTGAGTGGCTTGGTACTCTGACATGAACGGACAAGACTTGGCTTGGCACACTGTAATGTAGTCGCTCTCACGTGGTTCCACCATTCCCTGGAAGATCAAACGAATCGAATCACGCCACGGTTTTTCAGCATGGGAGTAGTCATGGGGTATGGTCATCCATCCCATCAGCTAATGGCTCTTGTAATCCCCGTGCATGGATGACATGATGACGCGCTTCCCAAGGGGGGAAAATCCATGAAAATCATGGTTAATATCATTCAACTTCTGATTCTAGTTTAGCCATAAATCGTGATTTACCATTAAAATCATGTGATTGGAAAATCATGATATATCCCATCAAATTATCCCCATTGATCCCATTTGAATCACTATTTTTCGATGGGATCGCCTGCAGAAGCAGACCATGAAGCCCAGGAACTTCCGAGGTTGAGCCTCAGCAACTTCACGGCGCCATTTTTTGGCTTTGTCGGATTTCTTGTGTATATTTATAGCAACCCCAACAAAAGATAGAAAAGCAACATCCTACATCATCCTACTAAAATCGTGAATGACTGTTCTATCTTCTGGGGTACTGTATGGTATGCAATTAAAAAAGAGGAACATGATGATTCAGCAGCGGATTTTGGGATACAAGATATGTTCAAACAAAGCCCAAACATCAACGTTGAAACACGTCTCCCAAGGAAGGGCAAACTGAAGCAGTTCCAGCGAGAAAACTGGCCAGAACTGACTCCGGAACTCTCTGATGCAATTGGGTTTGTCAAAAAATAGGGTTTTCAAAAAAAGACGTTGTTTAAAGTTTAAAACCCTCATTTTGGAATTTCAGATGGATACAAAACATACAAAAAAAAAACATTTCCAGGTAAACTCAATTGCACAATCTCACGTTTCTTTTTCTGGAGCTCATCTGTGCTGGGTCTCAGAATTTCAGAACCACACCTCAGAACGATGCGAGAATGTCAATCAGTGCAGTCACGCCAGTACTGGTTTGAAACTTTGACTTCTGACCTGCGCCACGAAACCAACATGATCCAAAAATATCTAAAATACATTTTGGAACATCTATGAAAATGACCATCTGGAGCCTTTCGAAAACCTGAACCGCCTTTCGCATTTGCTCAGATTGCGCAGCTCTGAGGCCCCAACAGCCACAGCAAAGGACCACATAAAGAATGACACAAAAGAATGCAGGGCGAACGTCGATGCCTTCTGCTGCGGTTGTGGTGTCGCAGTTCCGAAGCTCCGGTTACGAAGCATTCAATGATTCAAATTTCAAAATGTAGTCGATGTATACCCTCCGGTAATTTAACAGTTTGTTATGGAAGATCACAAGTTTTAAAGGTAAATGACCCAAAAATATCTAAACATGTGCCATTTTCATCCATTTTCCATAGCCATGTTAAATTGCAAGAGGATATATTGTCGATATTAGTACGAGTCATGTTGCTATTCAATATATTCAGCATAGCTATCCATTAAAAAAACTCCCCAAGCCCTGCGATCAAAAGATACTCTGTTCACTGGTTTGACACCCACAAAAAACAAAATGGCTGGTTTGTCAGTCGTCCCATTTGTTACAGAAAAAATATATCTCGGGTTCACCTACCAATCACCAAGGCGGTTTACAATCAAATGACAATTATATGGTGATATACCCACCTATACACCATTACAAAAAGAGTCTCATAATGTTTTATACTCATAGTCTACCCCATATATGCCACTATAGACCATTGTTTTATCATGTATTACCCCGCAACACCCGTAAACCCAACCATATTCACCAGCTACATGGGTCTGAAAATGGGGTATACCATGGTATACCCCCAAATAGTCATCAAACAATAAGGAACATGATCTTATAAACAGTGACAAACCATCTTAAATGTGCAAAAAATGTGCAAATTACTCCACTTTCAGATGTAGCGACCACATGCGACCACCATTCTATGCCCAGTTTTTCGTTCCAAGCCGCGTCTTGCCCTCAGCATTCCCAGCTGTTTCACCTGATGATAGCGTTGCCATCCAACCTGGGGCCAGGGGGACAACGGGATCCATGGCTTTGTGGGATCACCTGGGATGATGGGAATATAAATTTTGGTGTATGGCAATATGATGGCAATATGATGGCAATATGATGGCAATAGCATGAGGGTGAGCCAGCATGAGCCATAAACTCATAAACCATGTGTTTTGGCCAGTGTTTTGCAGATGCAAGCTGCAAAACTTCATGAACGTTCAATGGCCAGCAACTAGCAGCGCCAGAGTCGCTACGACCACCAGGGCAATGCTTAAGATCATGGAGTAGGAGATTTTGAATCTCCTGCGAGTGCGACATCACTGCGGGAAGGGCTGAAAGAGCTCTGAGAGCCTGCCACTCCTGGGAAAAACAGACTGTAATTGGATAATCTTAGCCCAGCAATATGGGTGTGTCTGAAAATAGTGTATCCCTACACCCAATGATTAATGATCATTATCCCTACTAAATGGCTATAATTGACATACCCATATTGACATCTGGATAATGTTCTATAACAAAAGCTTCCAGTCAGCCCAGTCGCTTGTCGTAGGCAATGGGCACGAAGGCGAAGCAAAACCTTTTTTGGCCGACCAGGCGGATCCACAGGGGACTGCTTGGATGAAATCACATGGACAAAACAGACCGGTAACAAGTCATCGACACTGCCAATTCCAAAGAAGTCGCATCATTTTTGTCGTCGCCAAACTCGTTCTTGTCCTTGCCCAGAAGGCAATCACTTGACATTTCTCAGAATCTGCGTCAAATCAAATCATATCCTCAGGAATGTTTTATAATTATACATAGGATAGATCATCAGGACTTGTTTTATCCCGCTTCAAATTTGATTGAGATATAAAATCCACGATTTTATGGTGACATAGTGGGGATAGACATAACTTGTTCGCTGCAACCCTGACGCTGCTCCGCGTCTGACTTCAGGTGGCTATGAAGATAAAGTTAATGTTATTAATTACCCCAGTCAACATATTGTTCATAAAGGGTGGCGAATTTTGATCCCTTATGAAAATAAAGATGATGTTATTGCCCCAATCAACAAATTGTTCACAAGGGGTGGCGAAATTTGATCCCTTATGAAGATAAAGATGATGTTATTGCCCCATTCAACAAATTGTTCACAAGGGGTGGCGAATTTTGATCCCTTATGAAGATAAAGTTGATGTTATTACCCCAATCAACATATTGTTCACAAGGAGTGGCGAATTTTGATCCCTTATGAAGATAAAGTTGATGTTATTACCCCAATCAACATATTGCTCATAGAGGGAGGCGAATGTTGATCCCTTATAAAGATAAAGTTGATGCTATTACCCCAATCAACATATTGTTCATAAGGAGTGGCGAACTTTGATCCCTTATGAAGATAAAGTTGATGTTATTACCCCAATCAACATATTGCTCATAGGGGGTGGCGAATTTTGATCCCTTATGAAGATAAAGTTGATGTTATTACCCCAGTCAACATATTGTTCATAGAGGGTGGCGAATTTCGATCCCTTATGAAGAAAAAGTTGATGTTATTACCCCAGGCAACATATTGTTCATAGAGGGTGGCGAATTTTGATCCCTTATGAAGATAAAGTTGATGTTATTACCCCAGTCAACATATTGTTCATAGGGGGTGGTGAATTTTGATCCCTCATGGAGATATAGTTGATGCTATTACCCCAGTCAACATATTGTTAATAGAGGGTGGCGAATTTTGATCCCTCGTGGAGATATAGTTGGTGTTTTTACCCCAATCAACATATTATTCAGAGGGGGTGGCGAATTTTGACCCCTCATGAAGATAAATATGATGGTCATCATGATCATGATGATGATGATGATCATCATGATGATTGTAAGTGTGGAGCAACGTCCGGGTTGGGGCGAACTTGTTTAACAGGATTAACCCTGATTGTTTTGAAAGTTCCCCTGATCTTTTGGATATAATTTGGATATATAGGTTTGTCTGAAAATAGGATGCCCCAAAACTTGATGGTGTGTCATCCTTTTCCCTATTAAAATGGTTATAATATTTAGGGGTATACACCATGTTCAGACACACGCAGATGGATTGTGGCTCAAAATTGGGTACCCCAATCATTGGATGGTTAATACTAACAACATACTTAAAAAGATGATGGCTTTCACATGTTTTGACCCATAACCATATGGATCATATAAATTATTATGGATTATTATAGATTATTATGGATTATTATGGATTATTATAAATTATTATGGATTATTATGGATTATTATGGATTATTATGGATTATAACCAATTATAACCATATGGATTGTTAAGCCCCTGAAAAATTCGGAACAGTTCGGTGCGTTGCCATCAGCGCTCCATGCCATCAGCGCCCGTTCGTGCGCCAGCTCTGTGTTGAGCACGGCGCTGGCCGGGACGGGCTCCACCTACAGGAAATCTTGTGATATCTTCTATATGAAAAAAACGACTATATAACATGATATAACTATAATATATATAATATAATATAATATAATATACTATAATATGATAGAATAGAATAGAATATAATATAATATACTATAATATACTATAATATGATAGAATAGAATAGAATATAATAGAATACAATAAATTATAATATGAAATGATATAATATAATATAATATAGTATAATATAATATAATATAATATCATATAATACAATATAATATATTACAATGTATTATAATATATAATATAATATAATATAATATAATATATTATAATATAATATAATATAATATGATATAATATAATATAATATATTACAATATATTATAATATAATATAATATAATATATTATAATATAATATAATATAATAAAATATGATATAATATAATATAATATAATATAGTACAATATATTATAATATAATATAATATAATATAATATAAATATAATATAATATAATATAATATAATATAATATATATAATATAATAAAATATAATACAATATAATGCAATATAATACAATACAATATAATATAATATAATATCTATCTATATATATATATATATGGTAGATCGCCAAATAGAGATACGTTTTGGGATAGTTGATATAGGATAGATATCTACTATCTGGAAGAATCCTAGAATAGATCAAATGCACAGGATAAGATAGGACCGAAATATACAAAATATCTGGAGATGTTTGAACTATGAAATGAAATTCTGATCGGTGATGCATCGCTTTCAGGCACTGCACCACGGCTGCTATCACAAATTCGTCCTTGTGTTCCTGTCAACTTCTAGTGATCATCTGTCCATAGTGATCATGATCCAGTTCTGATAAACAAGTTTTCCATCCGACTGGAATAGTCATGGTTTTTATATGTTTTTATGGGGCGTCTCTATCTTTTTCGGGGGCTACAAGCATCAATACTATATCCATATGTCAATGGATTGGTTTAAGGGAAAATCTACAGGAAACCATGGTTTTTACCATCAAATATAGGGGTTTCCTGTAAATTTTCCCATCATCCAGTTCTATGAATATGATATTGTCCAATTTTGATCTCTGAAATCCACCAGGAGGCCCGATACATCGGCCGATCGGCCTCTTCTGGAAGTCTCATCAAAGCTGTTGCCGGCACCTGCACATGCACTTCGCCTCACGTTGCTTTTTTATGCCGGTGAAACTTGATGAAACGCTGGCTGTTGAAAAGCAGTCTCGTTAGATTCGTTAGTATGGGGATGATCAACAAGTATAACTGATTTTACCCATCTGACTGTAGTTATACCCATAAATCAATCATTCCACTGCTTCAACTTGGAAAGAGCACCGAACATGCGAGATAAGATGTTTTCGTGCCACTGGCAGAGCCACACAATGACTTGGACACAATGACTTGGAGTGGCTCAGCAAGGATTGAAATAGCAGCGGCCTTGTAGAGACTGCAGGTCCTGTGCGAAGCAAAAATATGGATTTCTTGAGGTTGACAACGATTAAAACTTTCAGGATCTTTCAGGTTTCATGAGGTTTCCCCATGCTTTTTAGTGGCTTTACTCAGTTTACTCCTCTTGGAAAGTCTCCAATTTTTCCGCCCACACCTGCGGCAGCTCCAGTTGAATGTGCTGTGGCAGACCCAGCCTGTGCCATGCATCGATTCTGGGGCGATTCAAAGATTAATGAAACTTATGGGGATAGTATTCCCCCATTGGCTAATGGTTGATACTGCTGGTTTATGGATGTTAATGCTATGGCTCATATATGGCTCATATATCAATTAATCAGAGAGTCATCTTAATCAAATCCCGCCTGTCTCGCAAACAGCAGGCGACATCCGCCACGTTTGCTTCTTCCGCAAGTAGCAGGTTAAAACGTCTACTCTCAGCATGAGCATGGCAGTGGACAGAAACAGGTCGCATTGCGTGTAGATGTTGGTGCACAGAAGCTGGACAACGTTGGTAAGGAATGGCCAGATGTTTTTTTACATGATGTTTTATATACATGATGCTTTACATGTTTATTTGTTACATGTTTTGCATGTACAGAGAATCAGAGATTGCGAATGTAGAGAAAATGTTTCCCGGTGCCAGTTGATCAATCAGTTCCAACCGATCAGCGCTGACCATGGGTCCATTCCAAGGTTTGCAGCTTGAGCCCACGAACCAATGGCTCAACAAACGAATGGGGTGCGTAATCCAGTCCCCAAAAACCATCATGTTCCGAGGAAGTGTTCCGATGTGTTTCGAGGTGGCAAAGCCAAATGACTAAATGACTTTGTGCTTTTGGAGAAAAAGTGGAGAACATTGGTCAACTTTCCAAAACATGAAAACTCAGAAAACATGTTGGGATATGTGTGATATATGTGTGATATATTGTGATACAATGTGGCATTTTTTCGTCAAAACCCCAGTGAGACTCTGGAAGGCCCGGGCCCAACGGGCCCAAACTCTGAACCTGCACTGAGTCCTCCATCGATATGCTACGAATGTTTCCCATAGCCTCCAGAAGCTGCTTTGGAAGAAAACATGCAGGGTGGAAACCCACCGAAGAAAAAAAGCGGTTGAAGCATCAAAAGATTGGGTTTTACCATGGGTTTTATCACAAAAAAAATGCTAACCCCAAAGACTTGGGTTCCAAAAAAAAAGTTGTGTCTTTCCCAACAACCTATTGGAGTGTACCCAGTGTACCAGCAAAACTAGGACACTGGGTCTCTCACCGTCAATGGAACGAGCGTGGTGTCATGGGTGAAATGTTCAGACCCCAAACATGGAGATATATGGAGATATGATAAATATAGGGAGAAATCACGATATGGATATGGATAAGATATATAACAAATTATATTATATATTATATTATATTATATATAATATTATATATTTTATAACAATGTTATATATATAATATAATATGATTGATAAATGTGTTCATCCCAATATCGAGAACCTGTCGACCTGGCCCAAAAAAGGCCTGGCAGAGCCATTTGGGAAGTCCCTGAGAAGCTCTGCGCAAGGCCTTCAACTCTCTGGGATCGTCCTGGACCCATGGCATCCCATGGCTGTGAACAGCTCACCATATCTTGACATATCTTGACTTACCCTCTGGTAAATTAACATAGCTATTGAAAATGGCCCATTTATAGTGAGTTTTCCCATTAAATATGGTGATTTTCCATGGTTATGTTAGTTTACCAGAGGGTATGACATTTAAATCATTAAACTTTATGGGGGTTGAAATGGATTGAATGTTTCCACCAACCATCACCAACCCCTGGGGAGAATCAAAATTTAATTTATCATGCTTGACCGTGCTTGACCAATTTTTCACTTCACAAGCCAGCAGTCCTACCAAGCCCTCACCAGCGTCCTTCACCCTCCTTAAGGCGCTGGGCCTCCGTTGGTGAAAACGATGGCGAAATGACCACCGGACACTGTCGGACACCGTGAAAAACGACGTCAGGCGGCCAAGGGACTTGGGATTCTGGACGAGCAACACCAGCTCATCATCGGTCGCCGCCAAGCCTTCCCGGGAAATGGTGCCAAAATGTGCTCTTTTTTCCAACACGACATGTCAAGTCATGTCAAGAAATTTTGTGATGTTGAAAGATTTTGGAACATTGGAAATCATTGAAAACATCTTGGATATCACTGAAAGGAACCAGTGATACCAGTGTTTGGCTTCTTGTCCAACATGGTTTTGCTCGAAATGTTGGAAGACCTTCGTTCTTCGGCTTTTGAGGTCCTCACCATGGCCGCTTTCAAAGAGCAACGGTGGGTAGCGGTTCACACCTGGAAACGACGGCTGCCAGGGGCCCGGGGAAACTCAGTTAAATATCCTGAGGATGGTGGAATATCCTCAGTTATAGATCAATGGGTACCCTCTGGTAATTTAACATAGCTATTGAAAATGGCCATTTATAGTGAGTTTTCCCATTAAAGATGGTGATTTTCCATAGTTATGTTAGTTTACCAGAGGGTAATCTGAAGTTTGGTTGTAACATCATCAAAAATGAAGGTTTCTCTCATGAAATCGATGGATTTTTCGTCACTTCTCTGCACCTGAAAAATCCCATCGAATCGCAAAAATCTGTTCAGAAGCCGACGAAATTCAAGGGTTTGCGGCTTGGAATGATCAACTGATCTTCAGCCCAAGGTGCTGTTGATGAGATTCAGAGCTATGAGAAGCCTTTCCTGACACGAAGTTGCAGCCATGTAGCTATTGCATTTGAAGGGGGTTTACCATGAAATAAATCCCCAATTTGTTTGTAGATAGTCTATGATATTCTAATATATTCTAGATGGTTGATCCCGATGATGACAATCTGCAGAGGAAAAAATTGAAGCCCTTTGGGAATCTCCTCGATGTAGAGACTCGTGCCTGCGCAAGTGCAGACACAAGGCGTGTCTAATGCAAAGCAGAAAAATCGGATCATAAACCAGCAGAATCTGAATCCTCCAGGGGGACAGTAAAGTACAGTCAAGTCTTGTATGCTCCTCCTTTCTCTATCTTTTTCTCATGGTTTTAATTTCTACCCTCTGGTAATTTAACGTAGCTATGGAAAATCACTGTTTTTAATGGGTAAATCCACTATAAATGGCCATTTTCAATAGCTATGTTAGTTTACCAGAGGGTAATCTTGATTTTCGGTGACAATCCCAAACAGCGCCGCTGCGGCCTCGCACGTTCTGCGCAGCGCGTTTGGCTCCCTGAAGGAGCTCTAGTCGGCGCTTCAGCAGACTCCAACGCCAGCATCGCTGGATGCAAAGCCTAGGAAAAACCATCCATGGTGACGGATATTTGGATCATATGAATCATATATGATAATATGGTATGTTATTGGAATATGATAAGATGGTATATGGATAATATGATAATACATGATACTGGAATATGATATATGATATTTGGATCATATATTTATGTATTTATGTATAACATCACTGGAATAATATTGTGGATAACATACTGCAATTAATGACATACCAATCATCCATTCTCATCCGTAGAAATAAGTGCTAACGAATGTCCCAGAGCTCACTGAGATTTCCCAATCTCAGTTCCAGGCGCGCAGCGGCGAATGGTTGCGGCGGTTTTAAGGTTGCAGCTCAACGCACAGCGCTCACCTATGGAAAGGCGCTGCCATCCAAGTTATCCATTCAAATTCCAAATGTTCGAAGCCAGCCTAGCCTGGTTGGTTCATTTGTTGGGACTTACAAGTACCTATATAATTGGGGATGATGATAAGCCATAGGGAAACCTGTCGAAATCATTCCCAAATCAAGCTTCAGAGCTGTTTTCATTGCTGGGTTCAAGGCGGTGTGCTCTCCAGGCTGCCTAGGCACACCAGGCATGACCAAAAAAATGGCATTATATGGGAACAAAAAACGGGCACAAGACCACCAGAAATGCGGAAGCTGGGTTCTCTTAAAGTGTGGATACAACAAATTAGGCACTGAACCACCAGAAATTGGAATCTTGAAGCTGATAGAGTCGAAAGCAATGCGACTTCGATACTAAGCTAGGCCTAGGCTTCACTGGAGAAAGTCGGGACTCAAGGACACTGGTGAGGATGTACACTACTATAAATCGAAAATTGGGGTACAAACTGATACAGTCTGGTGGCTTTTGACAGATCCTATTCCTCCCAACCCCGGCCTGCACGCGCAGGACCGCAGAGGCCTGTCTCATCCATATTTGGGGTTGAATCATGGTGTTTCTTTCCCCCAGTTTATGGCGGTTTCAATGAGAAAACTCCATGATTTCCAGAGGGGTCTCTCCCATTTTTGGGCCAACCTGATTGGTCACCAGTTCACATTGAACTCAATTGGGAATCTGTTGACATTGAAGCCAGGTAGGAATCATTTCACCTTAAATCCAATTGGTCATCATTTCATTTTATATGAACAGTATTTAAACGTATTTAAACCACCAATTTTGCTTGACAATTCTGACACATTCTGACCAATCCGCTATGAAACCTGACAAACCACACCTGCTTCACAAAGCGTTCCGGTAAAAACGGCACTGGTCGAACCAGAGGAGCATCACCACCTGGAATCAAATCCAGGTCGCGGATCATTTGAATGCCTGGAATCCAATCGTGGTCACCCGATTTTTGGGAAATTACGGGATAGATTTTGCCGATGATAATTCAATGTTGGATTTATAATGATGATTCATCATGTCTTCATCTTGTTCATCATTATAAATCCAACATTGAATTACAATAATTTCGGTTCAATAATAAATCATCTTAATAATGATGCATCATAATTTACAAGATGTTACAAGTATGATGCATCTTCATCCATGTCTTCTTCCCTATCGGATCCTATAAATCCAAAGTCGCGCCTGTGCCAGAGAAGTGCAACATGTACAGGATGAAGCGCTCGGCTAATCGCGGAGTCCTTGACTTGAATCAAGGGTTTTACCACAAAGGCAAGGGGTAAAATATGTCACTATTGTGTCTCTGGGTATACTATGGTATACTCAGTATTACTCGGTATACTCGCTAAAATGACAACTCAACAAATGAAGAAACATGATGAACACCATTGAAAACCATTGAAAACCATTGAAAACCATTGGATTCTGGGAACTCAACGTGTTTTTCAACATGTTCAGGCAGCGAAAACCACATGGGCAGCTCAGTGCAGCTCTCACATAGGCAGCTCACCAGCGGTTGACATAGCCAGGTGGCCTCAAGGCTGGCTCATGATTTTCCATGGAAAAAAGTGGCAACCCTCCAGTACTCATAATCATGGATAATAGATATCAGTATTACGATAATGGGCCATCATGGAAAATAGATATTTACAGTAATATACTCCATATTATGCAAGTACTCCAATCAGTACTCCAATCATCTCCAATACCAAAGTGGCACAGGACATC